TACATATATTTAAAAATTCACTCTATTCTACAGTGGTTAGCAAACTATGGCCCCTTGAGTGTGGCTTTTCCACAAAATACCACGTGTGGGTGCGCATGTACAGTGCGATTGAAACTTCGTGAGCACACTCAAGGGGCTAAAGAGCCACATATGGCTCACGAGCCTCAGTTTGCCGACCACTGCTATAGTACAAAGTGGGGGCAGAACCTGCCATTGATCTCATTAACAATGTATTTAAATCAGCTAAGCTAACCAACTCCATTGATGAAGTATCACAGTAATTCACCCACAAATGGTACTTATCTAAGGGTATACCACTGTATAACCAGCAGTATGGCCCTGATTAGTGTTTTTGTTTATCTGTGTGGGTTTTGTTGTTGTTGTTGTTTTATTTTAGAGAGAGGAAGGGATAGGGAGAGAGAGAAACATCAATTGGCTGCCTCCTGTATGCCCCTTACTGGAGATCAAGCCCACATCCCAGGCATGTGTCCTAATCTAACCAGTAATTGAACCGTACATGGGAGGACACTCAACCAACTGAGCCACACCAGCCAGGGTGATTAGAGATTTTTCTTAAGCCTCTAGTAAATGTGAAACTATCTTGCTTTTAAATTAAGAGGTATAAGCGAATTAAGCATCATCATAAAGACTATCTGGATGGGTTACTTTCACTATCTCTTACCTTATTTATGGGTTTTTAAAGCATATTCAAGGATCATCCAGCCAGATATAAGGCTGATAGGCCCAGTCTGTGGATAGAATAGGCTGTGTGGATCAATTCTCTTTGTAGATACCTGCTTTAGACTATTTTCTTATTTGTCACAGACAATGGGGGAATTAAAGACAATGGGAAAAATAAGAGTAAGTTAAATTATTTTGTTTTTATAGCTGTCTTAAAGGATAGTTGGAAAAGTCAGTGAAACTGAATGGCTAAAATTACATTTAAGGATTTTATGTGGCTTTTATTATCCATGAATTGCCAATCCTCTATCATCACAAAAGACATAGCAAAGAATAAATAAAAGTATAAACATGGTTGGAGCACAGATTGTCTTTACATTATCCAAACAATTTTCCAATTGAACTTTGTAACAACTTTGCATTAGCGTAGACATAATACACACACACACACACACACACACACACACACTCACACTCACACATGCACATGCACACACAATATCAATAGCAAAGAATGTATTCTTAAGAAATTTTAGATATTATTTTTCAAAGCACTCTACTTATTACTTCTCATCAGGTCAGCTGGTACATGGAGGGTTCCATGTTTGCCCCGTGCCTCGCCCATGTCATATCCTTCCAGGAGTTGAGATTCCCACTCTCATCTACCTTCCCAAACCCCAACTCCCACAGGAAACTTTCTGGAACAATCATGCAGCCCTCCTAACCTCTTCCTCTTTGACCTTCTGCTAGAATCATCAATACAGCACTTGAAATGCTGCCTTATCTGGCCTCTGGTTGATTTTATATGAATTTGTCTTGTTTACCCACTAGATTGCCCAGGACCATGGCCAGCATACTGCGGCTCACGAGCCACATGTGGCTCTTTGGCCCCTTGAGTGTGGCTCTTCCACAAAATACCACGTGTCAGCACGCACGTACAGTGCGATTGAAACTTTATGGTCCATGCGCAGAAGTCAGTTTTCGGCCTGGGCGAGTCTATTTATAAAAAGTACTCTTGATATTTGGCTCTGTTAACGAATGAGTTTGCCGACCACTGGCCTAAGAGATTAAACGTGATTTCTATATCTACAAACACATCAAGCAGATGCCTACTCAGCACATAGAGACATTCAATAAATTTCTATTTACCAACCATTTTAAAAGAAAATAGAAAGATCTGTAAGTCCCCTTGTTAGCCTGTAGCTGTCATTAAGAGTGGGGCAAAGTATAAATTCACAAAATTCCACAGTACCTTTCCTCTAAACAGTGCTTAATCCTTTCTCACAGATTATCTCAGTCATAAAATCCTAGAATAAAAGGCAAAGAAGGGTAGAAACTAAAATTCCTAGGACTTTGATATTCCTCCTAGTGCAGACATGAAGTAGTGGCACATTTGATGGGTCAGACACTTAACACCTGCTTCCCCTGTAGAAGATGCACAGTAAAACCTCCGTTAAATTGATCCATCAATCTGGGATCTTTAGTTAAGCAAAAGCATGAGTTTTCTTGTATTCTAAGAAGGAGGTGAATTATAGCAAAAACAAGATTAAGGATTTATCTCAAAATCCACATATTTGAAAAGTTCTGCACTTATTACATATTCAATCCAATTTTATACACCTTCTTAGATACAATAATTGATAACTGCAATAATAAGTAATATTAACTGAGCACTTACCTCAGCCAGGAGTCAAGAAAAATGCTTTAAATACCTAATCTCATTACAAAAAATCCTATAGAGAATTAATTACTATTATACTAATTTAAGATATCAAAACTGAAGTACCTAGATGTTAAGCAACTTGTCCAAGATCATATAGCTTAGAGCCAGCATTTGAACTTACCTTATATAATTCCAGAGCACAATGACTCTGCTTTGCTTATAATACAGTATTTAATGGTACACAATCACATTTTTCAAGCATTAAATATTTTCTTGGTATCAGATAGCTACTAAATTACAATGTTGCCAACATATTACAGAGTTATTCATAATAAAATTTATAGTAATGGAATTTTTAGATCAACTCTCTATTTAAAATCTCTAGACATATCACCCTTCCCCTCCAACTCTGCATTCTAATTAATCAAGGTTTTAATGTATTAAAGAGCTGTAGGAAAAAAGGGGGCAGAATTTACTGACCCTATTTTGCAGATTCTGAAACAAAGACCATTTTATCATCAATTTGTTGGAAAGGGGGGATATATTAATACTAAAAAAAGCCATTTGGAAATAGTTGAAATGCCATCCAACCCACACTTCTATAGTGCTTGAGAGGTAATCTGAAAGAAACTGCATACATAACCTTTGGTTATCATATAAGTTATCTCAGGACTATTGGGGGAGGTATATTTACTTAGTTTAATGATATTGGGAGAAGAAGGGATGAATTCATGTTGGTGAGAAACAATTCCATTGGTCAGTATAGAAGCTGATAAAGCAAATATTCTAGTTTCAGTCAAATTTTTATTGCCCTGGGATTATCAGAAAGCCATAGGGGACCAGAGTTCTCTGAGGCTCTTACCCGTTGTCACAGATCAAGAAGCTACTAGTACTTGATTCTTCCCTTGAAATAAAACCGCGAATTGCTGTCCCAGAGGGTTCCTTCATGCTGGTGGTCGACGTTGGCACTATTTTTGGCCCTGCAATAGCATTGCAATCTTAGTAAGTTGGCATAATATCTGTTCATTAGAGATTTTGAAACTTACTAATGGCTGAGATATTTCTAAGCCCCTAACTAGGGAGTAGCTGGGGATCCTTAGCTACACACTAGTTCTAAGAGGGTCAATTATAGAAGGCTCTGTAATTTCCTTCTGTGGAATTAAGAGTAGGTGGAAAATGATTGTGAGGATTCAATACCATATAGTATGTTTAAAATAAGTACCTATTGAGTTGCTACTGTATTTTTCTAATCCATCACTCCTTCCATCTCACCCAAAAACATTGCATCCAAGAAGCCTTCTTACTACAGACGAGGTGAAGAGCCACTATAGGACTCTAAGAAAAACAACAACGCACGATACAATCCCCTTCTCCCTTCTGCAGATGGTGCTCAGATTGCAATTCATTCTACTAGGACAGTGGTCGGCAAGCTGCGGCTTGTGAGTCACATTCGGCTCTTTAGCCCCTTGAGTGTGGCTCTTCCACAAAATACCAACTTCTGCTCATGGGTCACGAAGTTTCAATTACACTGTACATGCGCGCCTGCATGTGGTATTTTGTGAAGAGCCACACTCAAGGGGCCACAGAGCCACATGTGGCTCACCAGCTGCAGTTTGCCGACCACTGTACAAGGACATTGCCTCCTTTTACTTTATTTTCCTTCATGGCTTCTTTATTATTAATTCCTAGAAAATTTGTAAAGTTCAAAATCTGAAAATAATACAAAAGTAAGTATTTTATCTGCAAATGGGGATAATACTGGGGTTTCAGAGGGTGATCATGAGGGTACATGCAAGAATGTTTGCAATTTAATAATAAAATGAGAAACATGAAGCTGCACTGAAGTGGAAAAAGCTGACACGTGAGCCATTACTTCGTCCTGAATGCACATGTTGATACCCAATCATGCCATTCTTATTTTAAAATCCTTTCAACACACTAGGGTGGGAAACCTTTATTGGTCACTTGGCACTCGGTATTATGATAAAAAATAACATTCTAAGGAGAGCTTTGGAAGTTAAATGCTTCTCTTTCACTCTTAAGGGCCCTGCATTATCTGCTTCCCTGAGCCTGTCAGAGATGTGAAGATCATCTGAGAAGTTATCTGAGTGAGGACAAAGTCAAAGAGCAGTCATCATTGCTACTCCTCCTCTTCCCTCACCCACACAAATAGAGAAGAAAGAGCTGGCCTTTTCTTCTTATGTCAATTTAAGAATCATCTTGGTACCACTACTACTCAGAATGGGGAGTTCACGTGGAACAAGGCTTTAAACCACATAGCACCAGGTTTTGGATAACTGCAGACAGAAAAAGCCACAAGAAAATCTTGGTATCCCTCTTCTTTTGTGGTGATTCTGTCTGAACTATTGTAATCTATGGAAAATATCAATCGAGTCAAAAACACACTTCTGGAAGAAGAGAGACATCCTTTGTTTAGGTGATTTGTCAGCTTAAATAATCAGTAATTGCATCACACAGGTGTGCTAGGAGCCAGGCTTGGCATAAGATTGCTCCCTACCTGTAATCCTCAGAAGCCTCCACTTAGGTATGGAGGCTTGATGGGGGCTTTCAGGTTGACTGATGTTTCCTTATTTCCTGGTTACCTTTTGCCCTGGGGGAATGGCCCGGGGAGGGAACATCTGAAGAAAAGTCTGAGTGAGAACTAGTGTGTTACCAACTGTCAGTCTTTAAAGGCTAGCGGCTTAGTATTCGGGATAGAAGCTGAGCTGTGGAATGTAAAAAGCAACATGCTCAAACTGGCTTAGGAACAATGGAACTTTTGGGAAGTCTCTGCCTTCTCAAAGCCTAACTCTCCAGCCAACAACATTTGCCAGGTCCTAAAAAAAAAAGAGTGTGAAATTTTTGCTAAAGCTTTGAATCTTTCCCGGTGCCATGCTTAATAAAATACCTTCTGAAAACACATTATGATCGTATAATGTTGGAAGCTTTCATAATTATCGAAGCACGTGCATGTATGTGGGGATCGGAAAGAACAGCCTGTATGAGGACTGGAGAAGTCTCTGGCTGTGTGTAGGCGGACTGGAGGTAAAAGGTGAAATGCTTCCTTCCAACTCTGAATTCTATGATACAAACGACCTTCAAAAAAGTCTAAAAGTGTTCTCTCCACCAGGGTGCAGATAAGCAACACTATTGTTGCCCTTGCCCCAGCTTCTATGCTGCTTCAAATGCTTAGGAAAAAGCAAAGAATAAAATAAAAACAGGAAGACAAAGCCACCTCTCTCAAGTCATTCTAAAACAGCTTAATCATTTTATTTATTTATATAAATTTAAAATATATATTTTTTATTGATTTCAGAGAGGAAGGGAGAGGGAGAGATAGAAACATCAAAGATAAGAGAGAGTCATCAGAGATAAGAGGTAGTCATCAAGGAGGCTGCCTCCTGCACACCCCACACTGGCGATTAAGCCCGCAACCCAAGCATGTGCCCTGACCTGGAATTGAACTGTGACCTCCTGGTTCATAGGTCAATAGTCAACCACTGAGCCATACCGGCTAGGCTTCTTTATTTATATTTTTTTATCTATCTATAGCTTACAGTATGCAAATAATTATTTTTGCATGTTTGAGACAAGAAAAAAAATAGAATGGATATTGCCTACCTAGACTAATAATGTCTTGCCACAGCTTACTATGACTTCCCTATGGATATTCTAAAAAATGTTTCTGAATAGACCATTAGACATCAAAAAAGACACTGTAGTTAAGTCCTGCGAATGACTGGAAGAAATGAAAGTCCTATATGTGGCCAATGGTGTAATTATCGCTCTTCCCCAAGTAGCGATTTCCTTGAAAGCTATGAGCAAACATTTTCCTTTCCTGGCATACATGGTAAGACCACGTGTTAAGACATGCCTCATGCATGATTTCCATGTGGATAGCAATAATTCTACTCCTTTCTATCTCCCTCAAAAAGTCTTATCAGGTGTTCAAATGAGTGAAAATAATTACTGTATTATTTGGATAATTCTGAATCTTCTCCAATTTACTAAATACCTAATTTGTTGCAATTATTTACAAAATTTCATATTTACCAATCAATGTGACACACCTAAAAAGTTATATTATGTATTCTGGATAAGAACCAGTGCTCTTAAAGGCTGCAGAGTCAGCAGGACAACAGATCAAGCCAATGTCTTGGTCTTGCAAATGTAAGGCTACTGTTTGGATCACCTATTGAAACCATTTCTAACTCTTTTCATACCCTCTTTTCAATTCAATGTTCATAATTCCCCTCTCTTTTTGGTGTGACTCCATCACAAAAATTAGCATTGTAATGAGAACTCTAAAGTAGTTCTCAAGAGGTGGGGATCAGGGGATTTGGCCACAACTTTCCGGAGGTCCATTTTCACATTGTCCACTCCCTCCACTCCATCGCATAGGATGATTTTTATGTGATCATCCTTGCCCTAGTTGAGGACCACTTCTCTAAAACCATAGGCATTAGAGATTTCATTTTATTTTACATGATTTTATTTTATTTTTTATTTATTTTGATAACACATAAATCTATTATAAAATTTGAAGAGGACAAATCAGAGCAAGAAACAGTGTATGCCCATCTAGCAGCTCCTGAGTTCATCACCTCAGACATAACCATTTTCAACTTGTCAGCTTTTTCTCTTTGTATTTAATTCTATACTTTTATTTTTGTTTATATTCCTGTTTATTATTTTTTCTATTTTGGACATTATCTTTTTACTTTCTACTGTAGAGCAGAAGGAGTAATTGTCTTTTTGCTTTTCTGTGTAAATTAGATAAGTCATTGGGCAGGAACTTTCCTAGTGCCAACTATAGAGTTCACTTCCTGCTATTTCACCATTGAAATCTCTAATGCCATTTAGAGATTTATTCCTTCTGCTCTAAAACCTAGCTCTGTTGGTCTTCATGCTCTGCCTGACCACCATCCACCACCCCCCACCCCCCAAAAAAAATCAAGGAATGCATTAAAATAAGTATAATCTACTAGAACTTTTCTGCCAATTTTTATTTCATCTGTTTTTTCATTGACTAGAAAAAAAATAATGATTCATTTTATATTCCCATAGGTAATATGATAATTAACTTATTTGTAGTGCTTACCATTTGCCAGACACTGGTCTTAATGCTTTGTATATTAATATACTCATTTTGTATACCTTTATATACTAATATTCTCATTTAACCCTCTGAGATGTGTAATATTATCAACATTTTACATAAACAAGCATAGGAAGACCTTAAATAATTTGCCTTAAGTCATACAGCTAAAAAGTAAGTGACCAATGCTGAATTCATCTTCTAACCATGGCAGTCTGTTGCCTCTAAAACTTTAGATTGGGAACTTAAGTGAGAACCTCTAGTGTGGCTCTAGTTTAGAAAAAGGAAAGTAATCAAAGATAATTATGAATCATAGAGTATCACAGCGATTTTCAACCTTTTTTTTTTTTTTTTAAATCTCATGGCACCCACAAACTAATTACTAAAATTCTGTGGCACACCAAAAAATATATTTTTCCATCATCTGATGAAATAAAAAATAGGTCCAATTTTGAAGCATTCACACTGGAAGGCTATTGTTGTGTTGGTTGTTGTCATGTTTTTATTTGACAATCTAAGGGGAAAGAGGTCAGTGCCTCCTCTGTAGTCAGTGCCCCTGACTACATAGTTGGGTATTGCATGTTTTATAATCTTTGAAGCACACAGGTTGAAAATTGCTGAAATTTCCAAATGGAAAAGGGCCGTAGCTGTGATGAGAAGTTCCCACTTTGGAAATGATAACATTAAGACCCCAAAAGGTAACATGTTCGTCCTAAACGACAGCTAAGGAGTGGCCAGAATTCAAGCCTTCTGCTTTTCATTCGGTATAGTAGGAAGAAGAAACTGGTGGGACCAAGAAAACTTAATTAGCTCAATAAAGGGGATAGACACCCTTTATCTGGCTCTGAAATGTGACTCAACATAGAATTTGTACTAATCCAAAGTCAGTAAAGTATTTATTTTGGCATCCTTTTATGAGAGTTAATTCTCTGGGAGAACTTCCAGATATTATCATAACTTTCAAGTCTAAAGGACAAGCAGTCAGCTTCTATATTGATGTTTTTGGCACATTTGGGCTAAAACTAACTCTTCAGATTCAAATTCATTCTCTAACCACCAGGCCAATGAGCATTCCCATGGTACTCTGCTGCCATCGTCTGGCAAACTGAAGTTAAGGACAGCAAATCTTAATACCAGATTAATAGAGTCCTGAATCAATGGGATAGGCTTGGAAGGAGTGGTGACTGAGGATCAGTATGGAGCAGGAAGAAGAAATGATTATGAGAAGAATTAAAAAGTCCTGAGCTTAAACATTAGATTGTAAATTGAAAGTCTTACTAATTTATTCCTTTGATACTATAAAATGCATGTCATAAACACGGGTAAAAATTGGCATATATGCAAAATAAAGGCAGGGCCTTTCTCTTTAAATAAAAATATTTCCATATTTATACTAGAGGAATTTCCTGCTTTTAAATATTTATTATTTATAGTAAAACAACACTTAAAAGTCAGTTAAATAAAGGGGTGCTTATGCCTTTTTATAAAACATTTTTGTTTTGCAAAATGATTGATAACAGTTGCCAGTTTATGAGTGTGGATCATTTATTTGCAAAAGTTTTATTTTTATACCATATTTATAGGGATATGTCTACTGCACAAAACCATGCTACATTTTCATATAGTATAAAGATATGTACATTGAAAGGATACTTTTGACACATTTTTCCTTCTTATTCACACCTTCTTTAGTGAGATATTTCTCTTATTTAGTCAAGCCTCATCTATTACCTAAAAAAATTTGTATTGTTATAGAATTTAAAAAGAATTAATGGCCCTAGCCGGCTTGGCTCAGTGGATAGAGCATTGGCCTGCAGACTGAAAGGTCCCAGGTTTGATTCTGGTCAAAGGCACATACTTGCGGGCTTGATCTCCAATGTGGGGCATGCAGGAGGCAGCTGATCAATGAGTCTCTCTCATCATTGATGTTTCTATCTCTCTCTTCTTCTCCCTTCCTCTCTGAAATCAATAAAAATTTATTTTTTTAAAAAGAATCAATGTTTAATTTTTGAATCCAAAATAGGGTGTTGAAGGCCATCTAATGAACAATATTCTTCAGGCTGAAGCATTTCGGGAAATTATATATATAATCTCCCAAACTGTCTTAGAGTCTTAAGGGGAAATCGAGAGATTCAGAGAACATGGAGGCAGGGTTGAGACAGAGCATTTAATTTGGCATCTAGAATGGCACCCTGAGAAGTTCCGTGGACCTGCTCCTCAGGGAATCTCTGGTAGAACTCATTTGCCTGGCCTGTGAATGAGTTGGACTAGATAACTAATAAGGCTGCTTTCAGCCATAAAGGACTGATTCTCAGGTCTCGTATGCCCAGTAGGGAAATGTCTGCTGCTTCTTGGCCAAGTTCAAATGGGCATTGTCCTTGAAGGGATGGGACCTATCCTCGTTCCTTGGCCACACCCCCAGAAGCTGTGCCGAGGACATGCAGGTGTAAGGTGCAGTTACCTGAGAAGTGTTGATGGTTCCTGCTTTTGCAGTTACATCTTCGAATTAGCTCAGGAGAATGCACATCACTGTGACAGGTGGCACAGTAAAAGAAGGCTCTGGACAATGAAAGCAAATCAAGGATGACTTAACACTAAGGAAGCATGGTGCTGACTCAGTCTGCCTGCCATTAAGTTGTATGTGCTTTAGGATTTTCTCCCCATAAAGTAATAAAAAAAAAATTACCTTTTGACATGCTTTGCAGATTCAGCAATAAAGAACCCTAAAGTGTTCTTTTGCAATATGACCTGTGCAGGTGGATTTAGTATCAGACCACTAGAGACAAAAAACAAACAAACAAACAAAAAACAAGGCATTTTTTTTCTGGCCAATATTTGGTGTTTCATTTTGTCATTACTAATGGATTCTCTCAGTTCCAGAGTCACTAGGACTCAATCCCCTTTTACTGCTAAACATGGTAGAAAATGTAAATTTGGCATATTTAATACTCTGATTACTGCTAAATACGCTGAGGGGAGGGAGGTCATGACACAACTGCTGAGCTGTGTACACAACTGAGCTAAGGGTAAGGTCTTCTTTGGACTATGTCCTGAATCTGAGATGGTCAAACAAACTCAGATGTATGAAGCCTTGATGACTTAGGCTATCCATTGACATCTAGGCCAAGGCCACACAGTTGCTAGACTTACTAGTGGTGTTCATTCTTATATTTGAACTTTACAATTAAATTATGTACATTAATCAGTTGGGTTCAAAAGTTCCTTTTATTTGCCTATCCATTTTCTGAACCTGTGTATTTCTTCAGTCCACAGGCCAGCGTTTTATACACTGAGCCAAACCAGCTAGGGCAAACCTGTATATTTCTTTCAACTTCATTTTGGTCTCCTGATTGCAAGATTTTTGAGAGTAGAAACCACATGAATTGTTTCTATTTCTACATTACTTGTATATTTTGATTTTCCATTTTCTTATGGTTTGTGTGTTTAAAAATGCTGCCTTATAAATTTCACCCATGGTACTCCTTGATGCAGTACTCTATTATGACTGTTTGAGTTCCTCATGTTTCTCCCTATGTTTGTCAGATTTCCTGTTGTGTTGTGTGTTTTTTTTTTCCAGATCTCCAGTATAAAGAGGCCTTATAACCCTATAACTCCCCGCACTTCATTTGTGCATGATGAAAGTATTCCTTTCCTCCTTTAAAACACACTCTTTTATATTCACATTGGAAAGAGGTCAAGTCTTAATTCTGGAAAAGGTTATTCTGCTGTTAGGGTACCTCCAAGAAACTTGCAAGTATGAGAGCCTCACAAAAAAATAAAGGAGCTTATACAACAAAAGCTCTTCAGCCCAATACCAAGAGTAGAAAGATGCTGAGGAGCTATGTTCAGGTAGATTATTACCTGAGTCATTGGCTGACAGTTTCTGAGTATTTACCAACTGATGTTATTGAGTGGAATGATTGCTTTAACTTTCAAAGAGAAAGAACATGGATTTGTGATCCACACCCCAAATATCACTGTTCAGTAGCTCTCAAGTATACTCAGTTGCTTCTTCATGTCTCCTTTTTGTTTTGTTTTGTTTTGTTTTGTTTTGTTTAGAGAGAGTGGAAGGGAGGGGAAGAGACACAGAAAGAGAAACATCAATGTGAGAGAGACACATCAATTGATCGCCTCCTGCACATGCCCCAATTAGGGCCAGGAATCGAGCCTGCAACCAAGGTACCTGACCTTGATGGAAATTGAACCTGGGACCCTTCAGTCCATAGGCCAATGCTCTATCCACTGAGCCAAACTGGCTAAGGTTTTAAAGGGATGTCTTCTGAACTCTTACTAAATATTTAGTTATAAAGATATTGTCATGATTAATATTTGAAAGAAGAGGTGAACTTTTGAAGATTTTTTTGGACTGGCATTATTGCTTAATTCTTCTCCTCATCAATCATGGCCAGTTGTTTTATTAGAGAATGTTTGCTACTGGAACAATCTCAAAATATTATCTAACTGGGTCAGGTCCAACTTTATCTCTTAGAAGGTGACAAATTATTCTCTAAGACAAATCTTTATGATTATCCAGGGGTTTTGCAAGATGTAGAGTATATTCAAGTGTATCAATTAGAAGAGAAAATAAAAGGTCAAAAAAGAGATTTTCCACCAGTGTTGCAATATACAGTACTCATCTAAAGCCCAACCTTTGAGATGCCCATATTTCTTCCACTTATTTATGACTATGGTGGATGCAGTACAGCTTGGTGATCAGAAGTGCAGCCCTCAGAGCCAGATTGGGTTCAAATTATGGCTCTGCGACTGGAGAGCAGTGTGAGTTTGGGGAAATTAGTTACCCTTTCTGGGCCTCAGCTCCGTCCTCTGTAATATGGAACTAATCATTGTGCACACCTCACAACATTGTTGTTAGAATTTAAGAGCTAATGTAAGTAAAGTGCCTACAGCATCATTGGTCATGAACTAGCAATAATTTAGGAGATCGCTATTATCAATATCTTTGCCAAATCAGGACTTTGATTCACCTTTTTTTGGTGAGAAATCAAAGTTAAG